AGAAATCTTAAAGTTACAAAACTGACGTATTCGTCACAACCGTTTAAATTTGCAACTGAAACCATCGATTCTGAACCAAGCTGAGAAATCCTGGAAAAGCTTAAACGAACCAGAATTGTCCTCTTTTCATCCATATCGCAATAACCGAGAGAGCGACGAGGTAAATAATAACGTATTCCTTTCTCGCAGATGTTGCATCTTCCTAATAAACTTTTAAATCATCGACAATTTAGAGGCAGAGCACCAGAAATTTTGCAATTAAGTCTCCGATATTTTACGGTTTGGGGCGTGTTGCTGAGAGGTTAAGGGTTATATTTCCACGATTAAGCCAAAGTGGAATTTAAATAGTCCTACAGTATGTTCGCACTGATAAGATATACTGGAGTCGTTAAGCAATTTTCTAATGGCCGTTAATTTTCGAATTCGAACCCTTAATTTTGTCCTTTGTTTTAGACCGAGTTCTGCTTCGTGGACAGGTGTGGAATTATTCTAGAGTGAATGGAAAATTATGAAGAATACCTCTGAGTGGAATTGGAAACTTCGATAAACACTCAAGAGGAACAGGTGTGAGCAGATTGACTCAGTAAGTTCTTTATCGTATTCTTAGTCAGTCTCAACTTCAACACCTCAAAAATTGTTGAAATCATAGTGTAAACAATTCTTTAAACCATACGATCATAGTATGTTTGCGACGAACCACTTTTGTTCCTCATCCACTGTTCTCTTTGTTTCTAAAAATCCACGAGCTTCCAAGTGGAGATTGGAACACATTGCAACTATGCTACTAATAGTGCCGCCGTTATATTGAAATATGCACATGCGCATTTGAGTTTTAGTCGTGTCTCTAAAAAGGTTTGTGCCTGCCTTAATTAGTGCACGCTGAACGCTTGGCACAATTTGATATTTATTTTACTTTGACATTTTTGAAGCGAACCGTTTAATTACTGTCGGAAAAAACTTAAAGTCCTCGGGCTACCAAAGATCCAAAAGTGAAAATATCATCTAATTATGTGAGAAAAAATTACAACTTTTCTTTTAAAATTATTGCGGCTTGCTTCAGCTAAACCTTCATTTTTTCGTTAAAACAACCTATACTTTCACAAGAAGTTCTAAACTGTTGATCATTGGGAAATGTCCAGCTGATATTGTTTTTGCTACTGTTTTTTGCACTAAACGCCGAATAAAATTGACATTTTTGATGCGAAACGTTGAGTGACTATTGAAATTGACTACGTAAACACGTAGAAAAAAGCTTAAACTACTCGGGTTCCCGAAACTCGAAATATGAAAATCTGCGGATAATCATCCAATGAAAACTTTCCATGCATTCTATTAAAAACTGTTGCGGCTTAATACAGCTAATTATCCATATTTTTACGAAAAGAACCTATACGTTACTTATTACATATGGTGTTTTAGAGTTTCCTTGTCACTGGATGAAAATTTCACAAGAAGATTTTAAACTGTTGATCATTGAAAAATTCTGAACTGATTTTGCGCTAGTGTTTTTTGCCCTATACGCCGAATAAAATGAATATATTTGATGGAAAACGTCGAACGACTTTTTAAGTATTGCTTATCGTCGAAAAAAACTTTTAAAAAAATTCTTAAGGCTTCCAAAACTCGAAAACCAAAATCATGTATGGAAATTTACAACCTTTCCGTTATAAGCTATTGCGGCTTGCAACAGCTCTCCATATTTTCATGAAAACAACCTATACTTTAAGGGCGACATATACTGTTTTGGAATTTCCTTGCCACTGGATGAAATTTTTACTAGAAAATTCTAAACTGTTAATTATTGACCAATTTCCAGCTGTTTTGATAGGAAATGTCGAATAACTATTGAAAGTTTTGTTTGCCGTCGAAAAAGTTCTATTTCCCTGGGCTCTTAAAACTCTGAATGGAAAACTGTGCACGGAAAAATGTGTGCCAAGTTTTATTAAAAACTTTAGCGGATTGCTCTCCGAGTAACTCTCAATATTTTCATCAAAACAACCGATACTTTGTGCCGCCTTACGCGAATAACCCTGTATATTCGCCGTTGCCCATCCATCAATCACACGTTTCAAATCCGATCACCAGCTGACACTGAACACTTGTTTCCAACTGTTTCCCTCTTTTGTTTCATCCATTAGCGATCAATCGGTCGATGTTCAAATGTTTTGATTCAGCACGATGATGCCTCTTTATTCGCCGATATTCATTTGTTACAGTGGCGTTATTGTTCTGGCGCGTGTCCAACATCCAGTTAGCCATTGATCCGATCGTTTTTCCATTGTTTTCGCGCTGTGTTTTGATTGATTCGTTTTTCCCGATACGCCAACAGCTTTTTGTGTGAAAATTCTAAAAGCTCGGTGGGAATTGTTTTGGCACGATGTTTCGGATTTCTGTTCAATATGCACCGAGCGGTCAGTTAGTCCGGGGGAAAAATTGCGAAAATTTTGCAAAGAACGACTGATGGCGATTGTTTGGCCTTTGGCCCGCTCGAGTACTCGAGATAACACGCCAGACATGGCATCTAGTGAGTATGTGCGCTAATCAAGTTGGCACAATTAAATACAAATGAGTGGTGCCCGCATATCTACTGCTTAATTAGCACTTCGTTCGAATTAAGCATACTTTGTTAAATGTTCTTGTTAATGAATACTTTATATTATTGGGAGGTTTCGCATCGACCACTAGGTACGTTATCTTTTAGCTAAGTCAGCCAGTGGAACCCATTTAGCGGCAATTTGAAGCAAACATCAGCAATTCTTTATTCAAATTCGCTTTCAGGTTGACGCCCGCCTTAAATACGGTGGCTAAAAGCTATCGACCAACGATCATTATTCTCAAATGTCTTTATTTTGGGCCCTTTTCGGGCCCTTTAAATAAAATATCCATTTATATAAATGACCGAAAATGGCCGACGGCCCAAATAAGACAAAAACCTGAAATCCATCATTAGTCCGAACGCATTGTCCGGTTTTATATTCTCCAATCCACCCCTTCCGAGCGGTGGGGGGATGGCTGGGGGATGGGAATTCGTATGCGAAAAGTATGGCGTTCGGACTTCGAACAAATGACATTAGGAGAAAAGGATAAATTGGCGCTCAGTGGCGTTCGTCCACACCAAACCAAATAGAGGGTGGGTAATACATTTTACAGTCAGAAAGTTTCTTCATATGAAAAGATGCAATCTTTTGGCATTCATTTCTCAGGAAAGTTCAGATTTTGCAATCTTGCTTGCTGCGTAAAATCAAAACTACAGATTTTTTTTCCTGTGTAGAGTTACAGTGAAATCATGCTTTACAACGCATGCATTGAATCATGTTTCTGTAATATTTTGTTCCACCTTCTGTTTAAAAGGAGATCTCCAACTGCTCTTTGATGCTACCCATGCCCTTTAAATACACTTTTGGCTTCTTATTCTTCTGATTTTCTACACTGCTTTCAAGTTTGTCCTTATACGCGCTAATTGTTATTTTTATCGCTCTTTGAATAACGACTTATTTGTATCGATGATTTTTGTATTGTATCTATCTATTTTTCAGTCGGAAAAAAAAATCTCCTTATCGTCACTACCACCATCATTATCAAATCCGGAGGATTCATTTGTCTGACGTTCCAGTTCAATTTTGTCCAGTATACCCAAAATTGTAGAACATTTTCGTTTTTTTCCTTTTTTTATAGATTTAATTTTATCGCGAGCTAGCGCTGGCTTTCGTTGGCGTCATTTTATTTTGTTTATGTACTTGTATGTAATCGAAAAAGTATGTTCCAAGCTTTTTCGCATAGACGCAATAAAAGTCGTTCTTTTTATAACACTTATCCGTGAAATGTTGGAAGATTCTGTGAATTTTTTCAAGTTTTCATTTCAACTTACCGATACATTTTCTACTTGTGTATGTGTGTTACTTTTGGGTACAAAAATGTCCGAGCAATTCTGTGATGGCAAACAAATATTTTGGACAATTTTTCTCACATTTTCAACACCATCGCTTAGATCTTGTGAAAGTTTTTTCTACTATTTTCTTCATAATTTCATTGCAGGTTTACCACCATGAATAACACACTTTTGCGCTCATAGTTAACACCAACCACTAAATGCACAGTTGAGGCAATTTAATAACGCGAATGAAGAAAGTTAATTATTTTCTCGATTAATAGTTTACAGTCTACAAATTTAACCTCTCTTTTACGTGAACTAAAAAACTTAAACTACATTTTCTTCTACAAAAGTTTTGAAGTTGTATTGAAAATCCCTCTGGTTTCACACAAAAACTCTCGGAAAACGGTTGTTTGTAAATCGTTTGAAAATGTTTATCGAGCCAACTTCTCTTTGTTAAATGCGGTTTTTTATATCCACCAACAGCAAACGTTCAAACATGTTACGAAAATTCTTTTTCGTGTAAAATTTTGATTTTTTCTTACTTCTCGTATAAAGATGCTTTCGTATGAAAAGCTGACCTTTTGTCTATAAAAGCATTTTCAGAATATGTTGATCTCTTTGAGTCAGATGTTATGTAACTTCACAAAAATTTCCGCATAATTTCGAATCCGTAGAAAAAAGATCTTGCTTTGTAGTGCATTTATGAATATAAAATATATACTTCGATAATACGTATTAATGCATCCTCGATTAAAACTATGCTTTTATTTAGTTCCTTCATCCCCTTCATTTTTTTCTTTCATTGAATTACATTACATACATTACATTCCATTTTCATCTTGTAATCTTTTTCATATTCCTACATGTTTTCTTGTCGTTTCTTACTTTAGGTGTAAAAATTGGGGCTTAAAAGCGTTTGAAATGATCTCTATTCCAGATAATGACCTGCTTTCTACGCCTATTTCCGATCGTATTTAAGTTTCCATTGATCTTCAGAGAATTTGGATACTTGCCATTTTCTTCTGTCTTCCTGTGTGTTTCAATTTTCCTTCCTACAACTGCATGCCAAGATGCTTGCAAAGAACTTCCAAGTAATGCATGCATTATCTGACAAAATTTGGACACATTTTCGTTAAGTTTCTATTTGAAAAAATCGATATGTTGTTGGAGGGGCGCGCTAAAGAAATGCGGTGATACGTGAGCAGCATACACATAAAAGCAAATTGAAAGTCGACGATTGATGCATTTTTTGTGAAGTTTGCTAGTACCACGTTTCTTCAGTTTTATCTTCAAAACTGATTTTTTCTACTGCATTTCTTGGGGGCGCAGGGCGTATCGTCATACCTCTTTCAATTAATCTGGTGCGGGACTATACCTAAAAACGTAAAACGATAGTATTCCTCCTTATTGAATTGAAGAGGAATTATCTTTTAAAGCCAAGTCCGAGGCAAATTTTTATGATATCAGCTATTGTCAATCAAAAACATAGTCCGGAAACTCAGCTGTACGTTCACAAAGGGGTTTTGCGACTGCATCAGATGCAGGATTTCTTTCAAATCCTTCCTTTGAACCCTGTCCTGTTTTATTGAATTGCAATCTTGAGCGATTTAGGCTATTTTCATCATTTTTGTGACTTGACTTGATTGAACATGTGGTATTACATTTCAAAGGTCGACATCAGGGAAAATAAAATGTAAATAAAGAAGGTGATAGAAGATTCGGGAAATGTCCTCGTTATGTACCGCTAAAGCTTCAAAAATGTCGCAGACAATTTTCGTTCAAGCTCATACGATTTCGCATGGCTAAACGTTGTTATAACTGAGCAAAAAAAATTCGAAACGTTTCGACTAAACGATTAAACAAAAGCAAAATAAGCAAGTCAAAATGGGAAACTAAATTGAAAAGTGTTCACCTGACATACATTAAGAGTCTTGCAAGAGTTTCAGAAGGCTATCGCAGAAGACTTGACCTTGCTAAAGATGGTGTTGGTGTTGTTCTTGCACCAGTCTTATTCATGAATATTAATACTTCTAGCTATCAAGAAACGTCCTCTCATGCCATCATTTTGTATCAATCATCATCACCTGATCATTGTAGAGCAATGAATCCTAGCTCTATGGTCCTCAAAGGAAAATCCATGTGATATTTTTTTAAATTCTGATGCCAATACAGCCATCTCGATGGAAGAAAGAATGAGTTATTCAATGTAGACTAGCTTCTGAACTTAAATGGCATAAATTGAAGAATCTGATCGTAAATTTGAGGGCACATGAGACAGTTTACATTCTCCGACACTGGCAATTCAAATTTAAAACAAACGACATTCGGTGCGGTATCGAAGCAGAGAAACGACCAAAAACAAAGACGGCCGAGGAGGGAATTAGCCGATGCGATATTGTTTGATATATGGCTCGAACCATACATCACAGTGACACAGTGTCGCTTATTCGAACAATGGACGTTCGGTTTGACTAATCATCGCACCAAGGAGTTTTGGACATCGGCAGGATCCAATGAGTTTCCATATTTTGGAATTAAAATTAAGAACAAAAAAACTGCTTAAATTCAGCAACTAATTTTGTCTGCATTTGAAGCACCCAACAGACCATGTGACCAGAACAGAACCAGACGAAAAAGTGTCGTGGTCAAAACGCCTAATAATAAATTAATCAGACGAAGATATTAATGTCGAAACTCGGCCTAAATTCGCTTTACAACAGCGACTCCTACTTCCGGTTCCATAAATTCAATCTCGTCGAAACAGTTCAACTAAGCATTAGATCAAGTGAGCTTGGACATGTCGAGTGGCGGATATTTTAACAATAGACTATCGTCGCTGGACCTTGCAACAGGATCCTAGATGCTTGCAGTATTAGTGTGAACCTACCTTTGGACAAGTAATGCGGAATTAGTAATTAATTGACTGGGTAGATTTAATTATTTTCGGGGGCATCGATCTGAGCTAGACATTGAGAAAATGGTTGGAAGAACCGGGAAAATAAGGTACAAAGGTTGAAGGTTGAAGAAAATAAGTCAGATTACGATGAAAAGATGAGGAAAAGAAGTCAGATGACAATGAAAAGATTCAGCGGGGGTTTTGGGCTCAAACTTCAAAGATCCATATTTATATAAGTTGCTAACTGGATAGTGCCTATAGGTACAAATTTTCATATAGTAAAAGAACCAGGTGGAAAATGTTGTTAAACGAAACACTGGGAATGTTTAGGGGTTTAAAACGGGTTTTGCGATTTGTGGCGAAACGTGACAACCTAGCGGAAACTGTTCGATGGCAGAGTTGTGGATAATACAAAAATGCAAAACTTTTGTATTTAATCCTTTTTGATATAACCTGAAATTAACGGTCAAAATGGCGAAAAACCTACTTTTYAGTATTTAATTTATTTCTCGCGCATAAATGGTTTGGTTGACATSAAAATTTGTAAAAGTAKGTTTTTTGGAGCTAAATAAGCAAGCGTTTTTGTACTTCAGAAAGCGACTAGCTTTCGAGTTACGTACATTTTTCTAAAAAACTACCCTTACCTTTCATGAACAATTGTCTGGATCATTTTTTATATTTGGAAAGTTAATGYTGTTCTATTTTTTGTCAAAACTGTCAAACATTCAATCGTCTGCTTTCTTTGGGGAGATTTTCAGTTGGACAGATGTTTAAGATATTGGACACACCRAATCCGRATTYTTCTAAGAAAGTAAAAGCTGAAGCACTGATTCAGTCTATGTTGATTTGACAAAAACAAGCTCTAACAGCAGACATAGAAAGACATTTGAAATTTTTGCGCCGATTGTTGACACTGACCAGAAAACCCTCGCTCGTTTAATAATGAAAACGAATGTTACGAAGTGAAGTTATAGAGCGAATTCCAATTAAATTGCAAAATGTGTAGTTCCATGCAATGAATTCCAGGAATTAATAATATTTCTTTAAAATCTCACATCAAACTTTTAAAAATCCGATAGGTCATGAAACTAATTTTGAATCAGCCTGTATATTTCCCAAGAGCTGATAATTGACGTTAATGAACGCATTGTAATTTAATAACATAATATTTATAACAACCAATTAAATGTAAAGATACGGACAAACAAAATTGATATGCAAGATCGTGGTGTTTCAGCATGATGAGCGGAAATCATACGATCGGAAAATTATGCAAAAATAATTTCGTAATGTAACATTCAAAGGCGGGTAGTTAAAAGCATATTTTTCCCGTCGTCTTTAAAGGCAAACATCGATATAAATTATTAGCAGAGAGCGAAATATTAACCAAACCGAAGCAGGGGCGGTGGGCGCGTATCCCGCTTCCCTTTTGATCTCTCTGGATGAATATAACCGCTTTTCATTGAAAATTACATCCGCGGCGTTTAAATATTTTCTACAAAAGCTTTTCAGATGGAAATCATAAAGCAATATTTTCCACCTATCCATCCAGAAAGACTAAAAGGAAATCATTACGAGAAATATCTGGGAAAGCGAATAACTTCAGCAGCGATAATAGTTAGATTGCGAATGAATTTTGCATTGAAAAGTTCTCCGAGTTGAGCTTTCAAAGGAATTCAGAATGCAGGTGCATTGCTTCTGTTTTTTTCTCTCTTTCGTTCCTTTTGCCTCTGGAACAACTCAACGTATGCACCGGTATTTGGGATGGAGGAGGAATTATTTCGACTTACTTCATTGCTTACAGCAGAAAGATCATTATGTCCAATCAGTTCATGAAAATTCTTCAAAAGATTGATTCGAAAATTGCAGAAACTCTTACTTACATCTGTTGTATTAGATCAAACCGACTAACAGAAACAAATGCACATAGAACGTCGACAGTGAAAAAGTGATATTTTCTTCAACAATTTATCGTAAAAGATATTATCCGGCTGTAGTTCGAAATGAGTCACATTTACCAGACAAACAAATTTAGATTTTAGAGGCATTTCGTATTAATTTTAAACAAATTACGAGCAAGCGTTAAACCCACACATGTGTTACTGCATTATGTCTATCGTCCGGAAATGTCCAATTATTATATTGGAGACATCTATTTAACACTCGTACACTCGGTGTGTTTATAATTCCGCATTAACTCGGCCTTTAATTAGTTCAACTCCCAATTTATCCGAACGATCGTGTTAAATGGATTGTCCACCGAAATTGATCCTTTCGTTTGAAATTCGTGCATATTGGCTTTGATAAATGCGTGAAGGTCGAAATGGGACTGTGGATATTGAGACGTTTTGCGACCAAATCTGTAACAGTTTGTATTGAAAAACTCATGCTTCAATGCTACCGCAAGTGATGGATTTAGTTCCCGTGTTCATTTTTCAATCGGAAATTATGGTGATTGCAAGTTTAAAAGTAGTATAAAAGGGTTTTTAATTGCGGAATTCACAAGCCCAACTGTTTCGATTATCTTCTTTCAATCATCTTGAAAAACATTTACAACAATTTTTTTCGATTTTAGTAATTTAATAAGGGTCAGGGTTATTGTTGCTTGATGCATTGTAGAAGTTCGAAAACTTCGCTAAAAATCCTATTGAAAGCAGTTTTGTGTCAAAATAATCCTAAGAATTATTCATAACTCATTAATAATAATTCGAGAAATGCAGTTTGCTTAAAATTCATCACTTCAGACACTTCAGACATACATAGGGATCTCCGAAACGGTAAGAAACACAAAACCGATTAAATCAGAGGAAAGCTGGGCAAATAAGAATTTCTTTTAATTTTTGACGTATTTAGAAAAAAGTGGTTTTTCGGAATTTCGCTTTTATGCATTAAAAAAAAACGGAAAACACTTTTGCACGGCACTTTTTCGAGCCCCCGTTGAATCTCTGAATACTAGATCTGAAGTAATGGAATTAAATGCTTTGGAATTGTCTTCAAAAGTTGGTCTTCAGTGTCAAAATGGTGAACATAAACTTGGTTTTAAATGTAACGTCAAAGGAAGAAGTCGACTGGGGTCAAGTCTGGCGATCGCGATGGCCAGGAACGTCACCATATCAATTCAATTGACTTGATCTTCCTGGAAACTGTTGAGAAACGTACTTTCGAACTGGTCTGACAATTTTGTACAATTTCTAATACACAGTACTATAAGTTGAAATAAGGTACTGCCCTTAAAGTGTGCTGATAAAAGGTCGGCCTTGATGACTGGATTCTTTTTTACCGTGGATTCTTGCCCATTGATAGCTGTTACGTCTATTGGAAATTCCATTGCTAATGACCATGCTTGGGTCTGACCAAATAATTTTGAATGGAAAATTCTCCACGTTGTCGCACTGTTTTGTATACCTTTCACAAAATACCCTTCGTTTAATTTCTTCTCCAGTTTGAAGTCCATGGCTAATTTTAAATTTATAACGTTTAAAGCTATTTTCGTTTAAAACGAAATGAGCGGTCGATTTTGGTACTCCAATTGGACAATAAAAAAGTTTAGAATGAAAAAAATTCAAGGAAAGAAACCGTTATAAAATATTTTCATAGATACAATATTTTAGTCCGAGAAAAGGTTCGATGAAAAAGGTTTTTTTTGTTTTTTTGGTTTGAAATCACTTCAAAATTGAACAAGAACGAAAATAGCAAAAAATAACTTTTTCCCAACAAACTCAAAAATTAAAATAAATTGCCCGAATTTTTCCTAATTTAACTGACTTCGTACGGTTTCGCAGATTCCTATGCAATGCATGCTTATCCTAGGCACCCTGTATACCGATGTACCATATTTGCTTGTTCTTATTATTTTTTTTTTTGAGACAAGTTCTCCTGAAACCGTTTCTTCAGTAATATTTCTTTATTAAAAAGATTAAGTTCCAACTATTTTGTGAAAACCATTGAAACTGAAGCACTTTGCCCAGAATGGTTTGGGTTTAGATCCCAAATTTGAGTTAATCTAGATAAGTTTGCAATAATTGGGGTCAGTTTGGGTTAATTTGCTATGGTTTAAGTCGTTGTAGTGAAAAAAAATCCGTACTGATACCAAAAGACTAAAAAGTCGTCATTAAAAGAGCATTTACTACGAAAATGTTTATAACCAAATCTTAATAATTTTCTATTCGTTTGTTATCAACCAGGATGTACGGAGTGTCCGGAGAATGGCGTGTTTTAATGCTGTTAATTTCGCAGAAAAAGACCTTAAAACTGCGGTTGCAATTTTAGGAAAACTAATAGCATTTTGAAGTTTGTTAAGCTCTGATACTAACGACTTCTGTTTTAACATTTTAAACTTCCTTACTTTCAATAGCTATCTATTTACGAGCACAGGAATATTCATGGACATGTTGGTAGTTATTGATACATAAAGTGGCTTCACTTACATTTCTTCTATTAATGCAGCATTCATTCTAGCAGACAAACCGAGCCCTTATCTAACGTACTTAAAGTATTTCCTTATCCCTTCGATACAACACTTTCCTCCCCCTTTATCTCCTCCCGATTCCCATTTAGGAAAGAGTATCTGCTCTCGCTCGGATCGCGGCTTGATTTATTTTATTGCTTTTAGTAGCGTTAATGTTTATTTCGCTAAATTACAAGAAAGGGGTTTGAACTGAATATACGTCGCGAATAGAACGGAATGAATCGTGTTTGGGTGCATACACATAGATACAGAGCAGTAGCAGTCAAATTTCAGTCACACTTATAGCTGAAACTGCGACATTTATTTTCATAACCAGCCAAGAATCACTTTTGTTAAAAGCGGAAGAAACGTACTATCCAGATTAAATACGTGTTAAGTGTTCCATTTGTAATCAATTTATTTCAATAAAAACGTTAATATGCAGGTGTGGAAAATGCAATTTCCATATCCACATAAAATCATACACAAACCGGGATACATTTGGCAACGAGTAGAATTCCAATTAAAGACAATTTAAAAGCCGTAGAAATTAACGAGGATCGCATTAAAAGCAATTACATCAATGTAAATGATCAGGAAAAATAAAAGGGGAATTAATATTACTTGGTGCATTTCAACTTTTAACAGTAATTAACGCCGTTTATTAATGATATCCTAATAAACATTTAAAGTGTGTTTTCACATGGGAACCCACTAAATCGGTCGATAAGCCATGAGGAAGTGATATGAAATTCAAACGATTAAAAGAATTAACTGCTTGAATTTTTTTTAATGCAATTTTTTAATCAAGGTAATTTCAATCCTCCCGAAAAAAACTTTAAAGATCAATCCTGACATCAAGACACAAATATTAAATTACCCAAAATTCAACTGTAACAAAACCGAATTATTTTCTTTACGTTTCAGGAGACACATGTGCCGCAGAAGGCTAAAAAAGGGTTGAGCGAATGATCTAGGGAATCGAAATAAGGGCCTAAGGGTCTACTATCGGCAAAAGCAGATAAAGGGTTAGGGGGATGGTGTTGAAAAAGGGCCAGGGAATTTATAGACGCTTTTTGGGGAGTAATTAGCAAAGTAATGACATATTAGGAAAAGGGGTATTTTTGGTATGGCGTTGTTTTCGGTGAGGGTCTCGAACATAAGGGATGACTTTTTACATCTGGGCAGAAATATCGATTGTTTCTTAATTAGGGGAGCGCGTTTTGTGGCTTGTTGGGAAGAGGGCGAGAACCAGGATACTTTGACCAAAAAAAGGTCAACCGGATACATTGTGAAAGCTTAGTTAAAACGTTATATTTAATTGATTAAATGCACATTGATGAACTCACATAATTTTCGTGGCTCGAGGCAAAAATCCACCTAAATAAACGAGTATTTTTTTAAATTAAACTACGAAAATTGATCTGGAAAAATACATGGGCCCGTTAAGTTAGTTGATAGCTTCTGTCAC